ATTACCCGTCACAAACTGAATATGGCTTTCAGCAGGTAATCAACTAAAGTTCACAGCTACTAATTAACCCGAGCAAAGCTTGTAGCCCTGTCTTGTATCCTCCAAGTAGCAGTCTTTTCTCTCTCCTGAAACTATGAGCAAAAGCCAAGCCATAACTGTGGTGTCTTTGCCACTGCAGTGCCGCCATTACACCAGTGGCTTGCTTGTCGGCCATTCACAATGTGGAAGGAAGCACTCACATCTCCAAATGCTGTACACTATTTCATGGGTTTAGGTCCTCAGTGAATAATAAATATTTGTTATATCACATATTATGGAATGGATATAGGGCAAGGAGGGACACCATTGGACACTGGCAAATTCCCATTCGTTTGCCTCTTCCATTTTGCATTAAAGAAAATCAGAGAAGATACAGCAAAAAGATGCATAGAGAGGAGACTCCAGTGATAAAGAAAGGGAGTTGACAGCATAGTAACCAAGCAGACTACTTGCTGACCAAGTTAGCATTCCTTGTTCCTTCTTTCCCCCTTTTATAAGATGTCATGGTTATATCACATTGGGAGAGGGCCTTATGACCCTCAGAACAATGGTTGCTCCTTGTCTGGGTGGTTGCATGGATAAGAGGGTCATCCTGTCCCCTGGAAAAAAAATCAAGTACTATTACTATGAAAGACATGGATTCAGCCAGTCAAGGGATTGTTTTTTTGTTTGTTTTTTTTTTTGAGAACTGGTGTAGTTTTGGTGGTAGGACTTAGTGATAAACTAGAAGCTGAACTTCAATGTAGGAGTCCAACTCTTTAAAGTCCTTGAAGAAGCCAGCATCCCCACGCTCTCCACTGAGGTGTCTTCTGCACTGACATACTCTGAATTTCCATGAGGGTCTGTAGGGTTTCACACATTTAGTTCTTCCCACTTTCAGACCAGAAATCCTAAATTTCCTGCATATCTGATTATTTGGAAGAAACATGGCATTGGCTACGTCACTCAGAAGGAAGACAAGACTCTCTAGGGGTGCAAATAGTGACAAGACATGGGTGTTTACGCTATAATAGAAATTATCTGCTTTGGGCCAAAAATATGTGCAACATGGCAGTGACAGCCATGGTCAGAAATCCTGATACTTTTTAAAAACATATTACTTAAAAAAATATTTGTCTCCTCCTTGATACATATGGAGCAAATGTATCAAGAGGCTTCAGTATTTGTTGCTGGGTTTTTTGTTTTTTTGTTTTTAAACAATCCAAACAATATTTCGGTTGTCCTTGACTATTTTCTGGCAATTCCTGGCACCCGCTACAACATATTATTCCCATCCTTGTGTGGGTTTCTTTTTAATTTCAGGATACATTGGAACAATAAAGCATTCTTTAATCCTTTCTCTTTTTTTAAAAAAAAAACAATTTTAGAGTTATAGTGCATCAGTAAAATTGCACTTTTGCAATATAGCATTCTAACTCTAATTTTAAAAAATAATAACGAAGAAAAATCCCCCTTCAAACCATAGGACCAGCTTACCAAATTTATGCCTTGGCTTTAAAATACCTTTGGAAGAGCCCAAGAGCAGACCTAAGAAATAACTAAAAATAGGTCCCCAAAGAAAACAGGTCCCCTAAAAAGCAAATCCAAGAAATTGCTAAAAATAGGCTACAAAGAATGGATGTGGTGGTGGTAATAACCAGTAAAATCCAGCAAAAACCAAGGAGCTTTATCATGAGAACTCACACTGACCAATCTGGAAAAAACCCAAGGAAGCTGATAGCAATTTCAGAGGGTGGGGTGTGATTTTAATTTTAAAAACAGCCCAGTGGGAAATGTTTAAACACTGTGTTCCCCCTAACCATCCCCAGTACAGCTGCCCCAAGCCAAATTTGGAGAGGAGAGCATTATGGTAACTTTTCTTAGAAGAAAGAATGTCCTAGTGATCACAGGCGGCCTAACCGTGAGGCAAAATAGGGCAGCAGCATTGCGGGTCCACTAAAGTAGATGGGACATCTCGCGTATCTTGCACCCAATGGAGAATTTTTTTCTCTCTGCAATGCTAGTTTGAATGAATTTGATCAGGCTTTCACAAGAGAAAGTACGTATTGATGGGTTATGTCTCACATTAGGAGCTGCTTGGGTTCTCCCCATGCAGGTAACAAAATGTATTGGGGATCACCCGAAAAGAGAAAAGTCTGTAGGGCCTTTACGTGAGTGATTGTTTCAAGACCAAAAGCAATAGAGAAAAACTTAGATTTTAACTTGCTATTGTCACACTAGCAGTGCCACAAATCTACTATCAGCAAGCATGCCTGGGCTTCAAGAATGGAAAATATGAGAGGGAGTGGCAATGAAATTTGCAAAGAACTGTCGTTCCCAGCAGAAGTGATTTTGCGCGGAAAACAGAGAAGTGAATCTAGAAGGAAAGGATGAATCATTCTCTCCCAATGGGTGTGAGCCAGGCAGCGTATGACTGGTGCCATTTTGAGGGTACCACTCGGCTGGAAGTGCCCCCACCCAAAACTGATGTCTCATCATGTTCCAATTATCCTTATATAACTTTGCTGTGGGTGGTTACACAACCTCAAAGGAGACTCAAGAGAGGGGGGAAGCCATTCCACACTCCCAGCCAAAATTATGTCGGTATATGTACATGTGTGAGAGTGTTCATTTGCCAGATCCGCCAGAAAGATCGCACTCTTTACCAACGCCCTGCTCCTCTTAAGGCAAAAGCTACCAAGTTTCTTTTTGGCCTGATGTTTTTCATTTTTGTTTTAAAACAACATAACTGTTTTTTCTCATTCCCACATCCCATCATGCACAGTCGCTAGGAAAGAATGAGTTGCTTGTTGGGAAAAGTGACCAAGAACCAAAGTACTCCAGAAAAGGCACTGTCCCTTCAAATTGTGTCCCAAACACCAGGACCACACTGCCAAATTTGGCCATGCCAGTTGAAAGGAAATTTCTATCAGATCAGTGAGGATTTCCACCCGAGCAGCAAACTTCCTGTAGGACCACCTTTCCAGCCTTGGTTCGGCACCTCATCCTAACAAAAAGCCAAAGCATCTTTGGGCAGCTGTGGTCAGGAAGGTCTGATGCTGTTGTTGTTTTTAAAAAATGGGCAGGTGCCCACTTTCCATACCCATCGTTGGCGATGCAGGGTTAAACGAATCCATGTGTGCACCTAACGCCAACAGTAGCAGCGCTAGCCTAAATTCTTTCTTCTAGTTCAAGGATAAACCTGCTGAGGCTTCTATTAGGAGCAAAGTAAGCAAGGATTCTGTTTCACCAACTTTCATGGTTCTTCTTCCCAGGGACACAGGCTGGAAAGGGAGTGAGGGTTTACCAATCTACAGCCAAAGGAAGACCCCTTTATTGTGATAGACTCCTGGATGTGTCAGCAAGTCTTGTATGTAGCCCTCCAAGACCACTCTCTGCCAGCACCACCATGAAAATCCTTGCCGACAGCCCCCCAACCCACCCTCTGGATCCTAGTCCTTTCTTGAAGTGCATGATATATTCCTCAAAGGCCCCTTGGTGATGAAACCAAACACCCCCCAGAGTGCCTTTGGCTGCGATGGGGAGTTCCTTCTAGACTAGACACACAATGCGCACTGAGAGAGAAGGAGATGATGTTTTGTTTTTATAGAATCAGCCAAAGAGTCCAGGGCTCACAAAATAGAGAGAAAACTTATTGTCCTTATTTATATATATATATAAAAAGTTGACAACTTACTTAGCAATCAGCACATTCCTGGCCAAGAGGTCCAAGCCGACAGGTCTCTGCTGTGTAATTCCACCTTGAAAGAAAGAGAGAAAGAACGAAGGAAAGAAAGAAAGAAAGAAAGAAAGAAAGAAAGAAAGAAAGAAAGAAAGAAAGAAAGAAAGAAAAGAGGGAAGGAGAGGAAGAAAGGAAAGAAAGAAAGAAAGAAAGAAAGAAAGAAAGAAAGAAAGAAAGAAAGAAAGAAAGAAAGAAAGAAAGAGCAAGTAGAGATAGGCGAGAGAGGGAGCAAGGAGAATTTTGTCTCCAGCTGCCAAGAGCATGAGCTGGGAACTTACCACCTAAAGTCACTGACTTTTAGTCAAAGAAGGGAAATCCTTTTTAAAACCTTGGCCCCTCCCAGGGCAATAATTGCCAGGGCAGACAGACGGATGAGACAGGACGTAGGAGGGGCCTCTTTACTGTAATGTGTGTGTGTGTGTTGTGTGTGTTGGGGGGGGAGTTGCAATGGCACCCTTTCATGTCTGCAAACTGGCAGTCCCCCTTCCCCTGTACTTGCTGGGGCTGAGAGGCAGGCTTTAGGAAGTCCAACTCCTTCTGGGCTGCAACAGGAGGGGGAGTCAAGGTTATTCTGGGACAAAAGGAGAGTTGCTTCTTGCAGATCTTGCGGGTGGAGGGCTGGAATGTGGGAGCACGTGCTGCTGGGAGCTGGGTTCTTGGACTGGGAATTGTTTTGCTCTCTTCCACGGCACACATTTCCCTTTCAGATCTTCCAAACTGGGATTTTAAAAAAATCAAATCAAATCAAATTTATTTTTAATAATTTTTGTGTGTGTGAGCGTGCGTGTGTGTATTGTGGAATGGAATGCTCTGTTCAAAGCCTCTCTCAGGGCCCCCCTTGGCAGGAGGTATTTTTATGCTGTTGATGTGTGCCTCCGGGTTTTTGATTTAGGGCGACCTTAAGGCAGACCTGTCGTAGGGTTTTCTGGACAGGTTTTGTTCAGAGGGGGTCCTCTGAGGCTGAGAGTGTGTGACTGGCCTAAGGTCACCCAATCGGTTTTCAGGGCTGAGCGGGGAATTGAATCCTGGCCTCCAGAGTTGTCGTCCAACACTCAAACCGCTATGCCATGTTGGCTATTGTCGTTGTTGTGTGCCTTCAAGTAGTTTCCGACTTATGGCAACCCTAAGGCAAACCTGTTGTAGGGCTTTTTTGGCAAGATTTCTTCAGAAGAGGTTTTCCATGGCCTTCCCCCGAGGCTGAGAGAGTGTGACTTGCCCAAGGCCACCTAGTGGATTTTCATGGCTAAGCAGGGAATTGAACCCTGGCATCCAGAGTTGTAATCTGACGTTCAAACCACTATGCCACATTGGCTTGCTTTCCTATTACCGTATATACTTGACTATAAGTCGACCTCATGTATAAGTTGAGTGCAGGTTTTGGGGCCAAAATTATGAATTTTGATATGACCCGTGGATCAGTCGAGGGTAAAACTTAGGGGCATGTAATGAATGATGTAGAGGATGAAGCAAAGGAAAGCAATTGCAAAGAACTTATAAAATTCCAGCAGGCAGTTTGTGCTCATACTAAAGGCTAGATAGATGAGAGAATAGAAGGGGGTTAGTGCTTCCAGGGCAGATTAAACTCTTCCTTTTCACCCCTTTTCAGGGGATGGTATATAATATATGATTTAAAGTACAGTACTTTAATTATTTGGGCCAATTTTTAACCTAAATTTCTAGACTTATACATGAGTATATACAATAATTCACACCCCAGGTATGATACCTGTGTGCAGTTTACAGTAGAAATGAGTGGGAACCATGCAGTCTTCCAGATGTTGGACTTCAACTCCCAGCAAGTCTAGCCATTATAGCTACATACCCATTAACATCTTACCGACGAAAACTAGGACACGTTTGTCCAAGCAACTGGCAAGTGGGGTCAAGATGGCAGAAATTATTGATGGCACATAGGCTAGGAGAAGCTGCAGCAGTTTGCTTTTGCCTGAGCCGATTGGGAAGCGCAAGGTTCGTTCCCCCTCTTCTTCTTTCTCTCTTGCTGAGTTAATTGAGCACAAACTACTTTTGCATTTGGAACTCATTTTGCAGCAACCTAATTAAGTTGAGGACAAAGGAAGCAATTAGGAGGAGGAGAAAGAAACTGAAACATTTTAAAGGCGGCAGAAAAAGTGGGATAACAGAAGATTAATCCACACTGTCCCTACCAAATTAGGAGAGTTGGAGGGCATGTAACCAATGGTAAAAATGGTGAGAGTTGCAGTCCTACAACATCTAGAGGGGCACATGATCTCCCCACCCCAACCCGATCTAACATGAGGCTTCTCTTCCCAAACTTCTATGGGTTTTATGGCCATGCTGGGAGAGTTGTGGGCCAACATTCAAACCACTGTGCCACGCTGGCATCCTGCCATTAAGTATAGAGAGAGAAAGAGACAAATGCTTGCTGTGGCAGACATTGGTTCCTGGGCGATTCCTCCTAAATCCCCATACCATTCTTCTCTCTTATAGGAAATCTTTAATTATTGGTGAGAAGTGTTGTTGTTGTTGGTGGTGGTGGTGGTGGTGTGCATCTTCAAGTCATTTTGGATTTAGGGCAACCCTAGGCCAAACCTATCACTGGGGGTTCTTGACAAGTTTCTTCAGAAAGGGCTTGCCATTGCCATCCTGTGAGGCTGAGAGAGTGTAACTTGTCCAAAGTCACCCAAATGGGTTCCTATGGGTGAGCAGGGATTTAAACCCAGCTCTCCAGAGTCATGGTACAATGCTCAAACCAAGATACCTTGCTGGCTGTCATACATACGAGATTTTTAGACCTGGAAAAATGCCAGGAGTAAAAGGCATACTCCCGGCAAAGTTGTGTGATTACATTGAAGATTTTCAGACACATTGTGCTTATCCAGGACTTTTCCCGTGAAGATCCAGGAATGCTCCAGCAACAAACCATTCACAGGGATGTCCTGGAAATGGTTTGTTGCTGGAGCATTCCTAGTTCTTCCCAGAATAAGTTCTAGATAAGTGTGACGTCACCCGAAAATCTTCAGCGCGACCATGCAATTATTCCGGGAGTATGCCTTTTCTTCCACAATTTCCCCCCATCTGATAATCTCCATAGAGAGAGAGGTACGTACACCCAAACCACCCTACTAAAGCACCCTACTACCCTGAGGTAGAGCGATGTTCCCTCAATGCCAGTGTTGAACTACCCATTCTGTTATCTTCTGGACCCAGGTGGACATCTCAGTTCGAATGGCCATTGGAAGCTGTTGGAGGAGCTTTCCACAACCTGCCCTCCTCCAGCTAGGCAGAACTACAACACCCATCATTGAGTGGTGGGGATAGACATTTTGTCAATATCCTTAGGTAGCAAAATGCTTTGGGGCTACCCTTGTCTCTCTTTTTGGCTTAGGGCAGAGGAATAAGATTATATCTGGCTTCTATTCCGGGCTCACAAATCTTGAGCCTTCACCACACGTAACCTTCTGTGTCTGCCTGCGAGAGAGAGAAATGGTCTATATGAAAAAGACTAGCAGTCTTAGCTCAGTTTTCTCTCAACTACTGCCACACTGCAGAATTAATGCAGTTTGACACTGCTTTAACTGTCATGGCTCCAGCCTATGGATTCCTGGGATTTATCATTTCTTCTAGCATCTAAATGTCTCACAAAACTACAAATCCCAGAATTCCATAGCATTGAGCCATGGCAGTTAAAGTGGTGTTAAACTGCATTAATTCTGCAGTTTAGATGTAGCCTCGGTTTCCATCTGCAGGGAATGTGCCTTTATAGCAGACCATTCAATAAGCTTAGGGGTGCCATACTGTAAAATTGACTGGTCTTTACCTGAATTCTAAGCATGTCACCGATCGTATCATTAGCTGCCCCAAATTCCAAGCTTCTTCTTCTTTCTTTCTTTTTTTTACAGAAAGTAATCCTTGTAAGAGCTTAGATAAGGGGCAAAATGTTCAGTTACTTTTCTTTCCAATTGTTTTGTGAGAAGAAAGTTTGCCACTGCCTTTCACTTTGTTTACCCAATGGGTGAAGTTCACACTTGTTGTTAACTGCCCTTGAGTCAATCCCAACTCATAGCAACCCTGTGGATGGGAAATCTCCAAGGCCCCCTGTCCTCCACTGGTCTGCTCAGGTCCTACAAACTCAATCCCATGACCTCCTTGATTGAGTCCATCCATCTAGCGCAGGGGTAGGCAACCTTTCCCCTTTAAGGGCTGAGGGACTTCAACTCCCAGAATCCCTGGAGCTATTGGCCAACATGGGACTATTGGCCAACATGGCTGAGGCTTCTGGGAGCTGAAGTCCCTCAGCCCTTAAAGGGGAAAGGTTGCCTACCCCTGATCTAGCGTATCATCTTCCTCTCTTTTTACTACCCTCCACCTTTCCTAGTATTATTGTCTGTTCCAGTGACAAACAATATCATGTCGCCAAAGTATGACAACCTCAATTTGATCATCTTGGCTTCTAGGGAGATTTCAAACCTGATCTGTTCACGGACCCATTTGTTTGTCTTTTTGACCGTCTGGTATCTTCAACACTCTTCTTCAGCACCACATCTCAAATAAATTAATTTTCTTCTTATCCGCTTATTCACTGTCCAGCTCTCAAATCTGTACATGGTGATGGTGAATATAATGGTTTGGATGATCCTAACTTTAGTGCTCAGTTGGATATCTTTACTCTTTATGATCTTGTCTAGTTCTTCCATTGATTCCATTCCCATTCCTAATCTTCTGATTTCTTGGCTGCAGTCACCATTCTGATCAATGTTTGATCCAAGATATAGGAAATCTTTAATTATTTTTGATTTCCTCATTGTATAGGTTATGATTGTTACACTTGTGATTGATATTTTCATAGATTTATATTTTGGGTTGGTTTATCCTTTCCCAGTTTCTGAGTAATTTTTACAATGTTGGAAGGCTGTGTAGCTTTTGAGAAAAGTCTAACTGAAGTCTATTTTTCAGAGCTCAATGCCAAAAAAAAAAAAAAAAAAATAGAGACATTGGAATTAATGAGGAGGAGGAAATGGAACAACAAAAGCTAAAAGCTGCCAGTACCACAACACAGTCAGCCCTCCTAATGCATGGATATTTTTACCCATGGATGCAAACATCCACAGCTTGAAAATATTTTTAAAATATATAAATTCCAAAGAGCAAATCTTGATTTTGCCATTTTATATAAGGGACATTATTTCACTGTGCCATTATATTTAATGGGACTTGAGCATCCACAGATTTTGGTATCCACAGGGAGTTCTGCAACCAAACCCCAGCGGATACCAAGGGCCCACTGTACAACAGTTATTATTTGTTTCTACTGGCTTACTTTTGCATGGCTTTACATACAAATATTACACATATTTACTGGATATCCAGGGGAAAAAATCAAGTTCAATTTTATGAGAGACAGAGCTCTCTGGTTGCCTCATGTGAGATAAAAATAGTCCTCCATTATTGCCACCTTCTCTCCACTCCACCTCACTTTCTTTCCCACAACTGCCCTTGATACCACCTTCCCCCTGCTCACTTGGTCTCCTCTCTCTTTGCTCCTCACACTGCTAAATTTATTATATTTAGAGTGGGCCTTTGGTATCCATTGTGGTTTGGTTCCAGGACCCCCTGTGGATACCAAAATCTGTGGATGCTCAAGTCTCATTAAATACAATGGCATAATAAAACTGTATCCCTTATATAACATAACAAAACAAAGGTTTGCTTTTTTGAACACACACACACAATATTTGCAAGCAGTAGATAGCTGAGTCCATGGATAAAGAATCTGTGGATACAGAGGGCTGACTGAATTTATTTACATGGCTTAGAACAATTAAAATATATTGTTAAAACTCACAAAATTAAAAAAATAAAATAAAACCAATTAAACATTCAGAAAAAAATTAAAGCCAGGTTAAAATGTATATTTAAACACAAACACGCGCGCACACACACACACACACACCAGTCCAGCAATTAGCAATATTCAGCAGATTGTGCAAGATGGGCCTTATATCATTACTCATCCAATGCCTGTTGGAATAGAAAAATCTTTCTCTGAAAAGACAGCAGGGAGAGTTCCCACCTTTTCTGGGGAGTTCCAGAGTTTGTGGGAAGCTATTGAAAAGACCCTCTCATTGTCCCTACCAGATGTACCTGTGAAGCTGTCCCAGACACTACCTTTGCCTGCCTGTTTTCCTGCCCTTTATTTTAAATCAGACCCAGACATTTTGGGTAGTTGCTTCTTCGTTAGAAGGCATGCAGGAAGCAGTCAAAAGTGAGGCAGGTAGGGGGAAGAAGAAAGGTAAGGTAGAAGGTGAAGCAAGTTGGGGTGCAAGAAGTAAG